AGGGTTTCGTGGAGGGCAATGGGTATGTAGTTCCAGCCCCTCAGAAGCTCCAGTCCCAGTTGGAATTACATTTTCAATTTCTCATCTGGGCCTCCAAACAAAAACATCTGTGCCCCAGCCCCAGGGCCCGGTTATGAGTTCTTTCCTCTTTTCTCTGGACTCTTGACAACTGTCTCATTTTCCCTCACTGCAGCAAGGCTGGAAGCTTGAGAGAGGTCACTGTGTATCTTGTTTGGAAATGACCATACATGAGTGTGTTTTTGCTGAGACACTTAGAGAACAGCAGGGAGGGTAGGTGGGGGACAGATCCTGCATTCCTGACACAAGCAAAGGTAACAGGAGACTCTCTGAGGCTGAGACATGCGTCACAGCACAAGCAGAGGCAGCACAGGGATACAAACATGGTTCAAATTAGGATGCTCTTCTCCGAAGACAAAACCAGCAGTCTGGTCTTGCAACATCACTGTGGCAATAAGGCCAGGTGGTGGGAAGTCACACTGCCCACTCAATGACCTTCCACAGAGCTGAGACAGGGAGGACCTTGACTTGAGTGACAAGTGGTTCTTGACTCAAGGTGTGGCCTGGGGCACGGACCTCTGCTCTGGAGACCTCTGCCTCGCTGGTCTGAGAAAGAAGGGGCTATGCTGTGTGGGAAGCTCCTGTGTTGTGCAGATAGCTAACACTGTGAAAGGTTAGTGGTTTCAGTCCACCCAGAGACACTTTGGAAGAAAGGCCTGGTGACTGACTTCTGAAAACTCAGCCATTAAAAACCTTATGGAGCACAGTTCCACTCTAACAACAGAGGGTCATCATGAGTTGGAGTCAACTTGACAGCAACTATTTATGCTGGGTGGTGTCTAAGGTTCTTTCTGTGGAGCCAGTTGAGTTGCTAGATGGCCAAGTGTGTGGTATGTTCACTGCTGGGCCAGGGTTAGGGATGGGGCAACTGAGTTGGGTTTGAAGGTGAGTAGGGTATCCTCCTCTGGCTCTGACTTCTAACAGATTGTGAATGCTTGAGGGCAGGAACCAAGTCTTATCCAGCTATTTCTTCCATGATGCCCAGCCCAGGGCTTCCATAAGGGTTGAATGATGGGAAGGATCTCCTACCTGTCCACCCAGATTGGTCTCTCCTGTCCCTGAGTCCCTACAGCAAGATCAACAATGTGGCCATGAGTGCCCAGCTAAGTGTGTGGAGGTGTTTGGGAGTCAACTCTGGCCTTTAATGACTATCTGGAACTCGGGTCATGACACCTATGTGCCCCCTTCCAAATCAGACAGGACTTTCTAAGAGGCCGCTGGACTTGTACCCCAAGGGGTCGACCTCACTGACCTTGGAGAGCTTTTTCCTAAGTTTTTCCTTTTGAGCTGTTTGAGAATTTGGGATGAAAACAAAATGCAAAGCCTTTGTAATCCAACCCCTCGGAACGAGATTCCAGGAGGCTGGGCTGCTGTTTCCCATTACAGTGGTATGTTATCTGATGGATACCAGAGGGGAAAAGCAATGTTCCCACTATTCACTCACATACTCGGCTTTTCCCAGAATAATGCTGGGAAATGTCTCACCATGCTAATTGTTCATGGTAGGGCAAATGATGGAAGTAAGACAGGCAGGCAGCTGGCTAGTGTCAGGTAAGTCCTAGCAGGAGGATGGAGCACTCACAGTTGGGGCCAGGAAGGCAGTAGCCCTGGCCCAGTGCCTTACCACAGGCTGGAAGTTCAGCCCCTTATTTGATATCTGACTCTCACAAGACAGTGGATACTGCCCACACCAGTCACTAGAGCCAACAAATCAACTGACCCAGTTGCTGTTGAGTAAATTCCAAGTCATTGTGACCTCATATATTATAGAGTAGAGCTGCTCCATGGGATTTTCAATCACTATGATCTTTTGGAAGCAGTTTGCCAGGCCTTTCTTCCAAGGCACCTCTGGATAGATTTGAACCACCAATCTTTCAGTTAGTAGCCTAGCACTTAACTCTTTGCACCACCCAGCAGTTCTCAATGTGTAGTCCTTGGACTAGCATCATTAACACTATCTGGGAACATGATGGAAATGCAAATTCTCACCCCTCATCCAGACTCATGAATTGGAAACCCTGGGATGGAGACCACAGATGTGTTCTAACATGTTCTACAGGTGGTTCTGATGCAGGTTAAAGTTTGAGCCACAGCTATTGAGCAACTCTTTCCAATGGTGAGTCATAGGGAGTAAGGAGTGCCAAAATATTAATCACATCAGCATCAAGGGGCTGAGCAGAGTCCCCAGAACAGCTGTCCCTAACTGTGTGCTGCATAATATTTACTATCTTAAACAGTTGGGAAACGCTACTTGGAGAGATGCTCAGTCTTGCCCAAGCTTGCATGATTGTGATGCTCAAGTTCAAACCACTTGTCCTGGGCTGAGGGCTCACTTTTGACCCAAGGACCCTCTCTAGTTTTCCACACCACTTTATTGTCACCTGCTGGCAGATGACCATGGAGAAAAACAGAATTCTTGCCTTCTATGCAGAAGACCTGTGTTTGGTTCCCAGATGATGCTCAAGTATAGCCACCACCCCTCTGTCAGTGGGGCCGTGAATGTTGCTATGATGCTGAACAGGTTTCAGTGGAATTTCCAGACTAAGACAGATTAGGAAGGAAGGTCTGGCAGTCTACTTCCAACAACCAGCTGATGAAAACCCTGTAGACCACAACAGTTCTACACACAAAGGTTGTGCATGGGTTCGCTATGAGTCAGGGGCCAACTCAACAGCAGATAACAACAGGTCCTTGCATAAGGGAGCAGTTAACAAAAGAGGGAGAGGATGTATAGCACTTATCCACACTCGAGTGTCTCTGGACTGGGTTCCCTGTCCCAACAGCTCTGGGCAAGAGGTCAGGACAGATCCTTGAATCATCCTCAAGCAATTACCTATGAGGTTGACCCCAAGAAGTCCACTCCCCTGGGTCCCTCCTGGGAGGTACTTGGGTGACTCAAACAATGAGTGGTTCTTGGTGATGTTTGGGCACAGCAGAATCACTCGAGAAGGGACAGAGAGGTTCGAGGGTGATAGGCCACACACCAAGAGGAGTACAGAGATAGAGAGGTTTAATGAGGGTCTCAGGAGCCCAGAGTAGTGGAGGTTCAGGGATAATGGGCCTCCCACAAAGAGGAGTACAGAGATAGAGGAATGCAGTGAGAGTCTCAGGGGCCTAGAGTAGTGGTCCAGAGCCTTGTTCAGCTGGGCCACTGCAGGGCAACCTGCAGAAAGGAAGTTCTAGCCTCCCATGCTGTCCACAGTCAGGCCAAGGCCAGAAACCTATCCTTTCCTCATTGTTGCGCCTTCTCTCATCACTTTGAATGAGTGGCCCTTTGTACAGGAAAGGAGAGCAACCTGCATGTGCTCTTAATCCTGCCGATGAAAGAAGTATGGGCACGTGACCCCACAAGAATGCTTTGTGCCTGTCCAGGGGCGGTCTGTGGATGGATGAGCAAGTGCCTAGTTGTACTCAGAATATCCTGGCAGCGCCTCCTATTTCCCCTTCCTGAATTTTCCACGATGCACATGGAGTTCTCATTTTCTCTGCTCCCTCCATTCAAGGGCTCACTTGCCTGCGGGCAGGCAGCCACCCTGGGCTCTAGGAGAGCTTCCAGACTAGGAAGGCAGCATCACAGGCAGTCACAGGCACAGGGCCCTGGCCATGGTTCACGGCCCCCACCCTCACCTTAAACCATTTCATAAACAGAGAAATGAAGACCAACCTGAGGTCACACCCATCAACACATGGCTGACACAATAAAAATAAGAGTGAATCTTTATAGAGCACACACTATGTGTGTGTCCAGGCACTCTCCTAAGTACATTTACTCCTGATGACAACCCTGGGGCTATTGTCATTGTCCCTATTGCCCAGATGAGAAGGTAAGAAATCAAGGTGAAGTCCAATAGCTCACAGCCAGAAAGTGGCAGAGCCAGGACTTGAATGCCAGAGCCTGGCTCTAGGACTCACACTTGTGACCATAAGTACTACTATTTCCCCAGAAGAAGAGACTAGAATGCAGTTCTCCCACCTCCCGGCCTGCTACTCCCACTTCACTGCAAGGCCTCCACATTACTACCCAAAAGGCTTTGTGAGGAGCCTGCTTGAGCTAGGGCTTCCCAGCAGCTACACCCCTACCAGCCCTCCACAAGTACAGCTCCCGCCCTGGTGCAGTCTGTGAGCACAGTGAACTCATGAGCAAAGCAAGCCCTGGCCCAACCCACTATTTTACTTAGGCAATGCCCCCCTCTGGCCTGCACATCACCGTCCCCGCTAATCACAGAGGGGCTAGGCTAAAGGAGTCAAGTCCACTACCCTGCTTCTGAGACCCTTCAGCACTTCTGCTCAGTATTCCTAGTGCTTCAACCTGTATCAGAAGAAAGACTACTACCTTCTTCCATTACAGAGGTGCTGCCATTCCAGCTACCTCCAGCTACACATAGGCCAATCCACCTTCAGGTCAGCTCAAGGCTCACCACACATCCACCCCACCAGGTGAATGTACCTGTCCTTCCTCCATTGGGTCTATTAGCACTTCTAATGGCTGCTGCCTTGGGAAAAGTGATACCTCCAGTGGCACCCACTTACTCCCACTCCCTGCCACAGGACATCCTCAGAAGCTCTGAAGACATCACTTTACTTACCTCTCCAAGTTACATGTCAGAAGGAAGACTGGGCAATCCACTTCTGTAAAGATTTACCACCTCAGAAACCCAAAGGGGGTCACTGTGAGTCAGGATAGACTTGATGACAGTGAATTTGGGTTTTTTTTTTTTTTTGAAGTTACATGTGACCACAAAATCTTAAATACATATGTACATACCTCAGCACTGCATCTTTGCAATTTGTGGGGCCTTATCTCACCACATCACTCTGACTTGGTGTAGCCCAGTAGTCTGTCGTCCTCTCCACAGCCTGAACACCCCACCACCACCTTGCAGCCATTCGGGGTAAGGTTTGCAAACCAGAGATGGTCTGACTCACTTGGTCCTGATGCAAAGCTCGAGAGGTGGGACAAGATCATTGTCTCTGTCTTCAGGAATGGTCTGTGTAGTATCTGGAAGAGGGAGAGTGAGTGAGGCATGCACACACCAGGTCAGCATACATACAGCCCCAACTCCGGGGACCCAACTTTTCTGGTACTGTCTCCCTTCTCCATCCCTACTGGATCTGTCCTCATTCCAGGCTCCCTCACTGCTCACATAGACAATTACAACATCATCCCCACTGGTCTCTAGCTCCAGAGTCTACCCCACCCCCAGAGTTCCTTTCAGCTACCAGAATATTCTCTCTGTGCACATCTGATCCCATTACTCCCCCACTCCACAACCTTCCATGGTTCCTTAGTACTCGAAGAATAAAATCCTAACTTTTCAGTATGGTCTTCAGGGCTCTTCCTTGAGTAGTTTTAACTTTACCTCATACTTTTAACTCCATCAATTTCTCAAGGCCCAGCTCTGCCTTACACCCCTCCAGGGGGACCCTGGTAACATTTGTCCTCTGCTCCCCCAGCCCTGACACTCAAGTCTGTGTCCTCTGACTGCCCCAAGGAGGTGGGCTAGGATTGGTTTCCCTGAGCAGGCTGAGGACTCCTTGAGGACAACCTTGGGGACAAGGGAGCAAAGGCACCCACCAATGGTCAGCCGGATCTGGTCTGGCTGGTTGGCCAGGCCGTCATAGTAATACAGGTCAAAGTGACGCTCAGTCCTCCAGTCCCTCAGGAGCTCCTGCTGCAGGCTAAAAAGGACGCTGAAGTGACTCTCGCTGCACACCACCCAGATGGGGAACCTTGGGGTCTTCAGGAAGCAGCCAACCTGTATACATGAAGGAAGTGGACAGAGATGCCTGATGTCATGTGCTGTCCCTAGGGAAAGAGGCCAGGCACCCTCTGTCTAACCAAGAGCAGGGATGACCTCAGAGAGGCCCAGAGTGTAGATCATAGCCTGTGTATGATGCAGGGAGACCTTCATGCTGCTCACAGATGTAGTTCCCTCTACCAACTCAGTCTACCACTGCACATGGGGCTTTGATGTACAGACAGTAGGACAGAGATGCCACAGCCTGAGATCCGGTGTCACCATGTCCTTCATCTCCCACATCCGTCTGGTACCCTGGTTTGCCTGTGCAGCCTCTGAAAGCTCCCCCACACCCATTTGTCCTCCCCAGATCTGCTCATCCACCCCCTTACCTAAACCATAACAATGACTTCCTGACCAGTCCTTCCCATAACCTGTTCTCCCCACCCCTGTAGCCACGTGGAACCTTTCTCCAGTCCTCAAACTAATTCCAACACTGGAGCCTCTATGACCTTGATTTTGCAGGCTCCTGGTCTAGAACACTATCATACTTCTCCTCTTTGAGATCCTGCATCATCCCAAATTACCCAACCATTGAGCACAAATCATGTCCTCCTTCCAGCTCCCAGGGGGTACATCTCTAGTATTCACTTCTCTCACAGTGCATCATTCTGCCTCACAATGATAACTTTACCTGCATGTTGCACATGAGACTATACCCTCAGAACTAAGAGTAGAGTGGATACATAAATGTTTGAGGAATGAAGGTACTTGTGGAGGAAGTGGAACTTGACCTAGAACTGTACCTCAAAGCCCAGGTAGGATGTGGATCCACAGGGAGAAAATAGGAAGACCTCAGAGTAAGCAGTCTGTGGGTGATGCCAGGAAGGAATGTCCAGAGAAGTTCAAGGGACAGTGTGGGGCATGCAGGAAAAGGTACAAGGGAGGATAAGGCCAAGGCAATAACAGCATTAGGAGTTTGAGCTCTTGTCTGCAGGGATTCCTTTAGAAAGCTCCAAGAAGGGGCATCCCATTGTAAAACGGTGTTTGGAAAGGTGGATACCATGGTATAAGCATCCAGACTCTAAGGGTGTCTTCCATCTTGGGCTGGAAGACAGAAAGGAGTGGGTGGTGCCTTCTGTGAGCCCCTGCACAGGAGCTTGGCTGGGCCTGGCCTGCCTTCTACACCCTCCTTGTCATCCACAACACCCCTAGCCAGCGCCTCTCCCCACTCCAGGCCTTGTTTTATTCAGCTATGTACATGCTGTGATCCAGGCTGATTCCCAGCCTAATCCCCACCAGCCCCAGTGAGATGCTTGCATGCTCAGGTATTTGCAGCCTCAGCCCATGGATTAAGGAAAGAATGGGAATTATTTTTCCAGTGGAGAGAAGGGCATACTTTTTCTGAAGCCTGTCACAGAAGAGTGGGCAGCATTTATCCCTGGGCTCCTCGAAGGCCCCGTCAAGCTTCCTCTGGGCTGGGGAGGATTCAGACAGAGGGTCAGAAGGTCCTGAAAACTGCCTCATCCAGAGGAGATATAAAAGGATGCTTGTTACAATGTGTTAATCATTTTCTCATTGTCCTAGTGCCCCTCCCTGTCAATACCAGGCTAGTGGCAGAAGGCCATCTGTGTGGCCAAGTCCTATGCCCTCTCTGATTTTCCCACATGTAAGGTAAAGGGCTGATCTCCATCTCCAGTGGTTGTAGCAATGGAGAAACTTGAAAATGTGAACGCAGAGCTTGCTCTTCAGTGGGATGTGGGGGAATTAGATGTCTTAAAGGACGTGGCTGGACATGCCCAAGCCCCACTGCAAACTTGGCTTCCATCCCATGCTCACAAGAGGCTTTTCTGGTGAGGACATCACCTGAAACAGGGAGCCTTCAAGACTGGGGAGCCAGAGCTCATTCACTGCAACAAAAACAGCCCTAAAGCCAAGCAGTGAGCAGGCATTTACATAATCAGCCACCTGAATTTTCCAGCAAAGGAACCAAAGGGCAGCTTGCCATCTATACAACAGTCAAAAGATTAAAGGCAAACAAGCTGCCTGAGAGTTTATAAATGAGTTTTCTCATCCAGGAGCCCCCTTCCAAGTGAGTGACAGGGTGACATATTCCAAAGACAAAATTTGTTTCCTTTGGATTCTTGGGTAGAAGACCAAAGGCATGGCGTGGGGAGGGGCACATTTCCTGCAGCACAATCTGAGGCATTCTCCTAATGGGTGAACTTACAGCACAATTGAGAACTAACTTTCAAATTGTGGTTGTCTTAGTTATCTAGTGTTGCTATAATGTAAATACCATAAGTGGGTGTCTTTAACAAACAGAAATTTATTTTCTCACAGTTTAGGAGGTTAGGAGTTCAAATTCAGAGCAGTGACTCTAGGACAATTCTTTCTCCTTCTGTCAGCTCTAGAAGAAGGTCCTAGTCTCTTCAGCTTCTGTTTCCTGGTTCCTTAGAGATCTCTATGTTTCTTGGCATCAATCTTCCCCTGGGTCTAGGAGGTTCTCAGCACAGGGATGAAGGTCACATTCCATTCCTGGCTTTTCTGTCTTTATAGTAGTGAGGTCCCTCTTCTCTCTGCTAGTTTCTCTTTTTCTCTCTTGTAAGATAAAAGGTGTGACTCAATCAAGTGTGTGAATTGAGTAAGAGTGTGACAAGAGTGGTGACTTGAGTAAGGGTAGGACTTGAGAAAGATATGATCTGAGTAAGGCTGTGACTCAAGAGATACTCTAATCCTGCCTCATTAATATATAGAGGTTAAGATTTACAATGTATCACATAATGGAGGATAATTATATCAGATCACAAAATGGAGAACAATCACACAATACTAGGAATCATGGCCTAGCCAAGTTGACATATTTTGGGAGAGCACAATTCTGTCCATGACAGTGAGTCTTAATCTTGTAGGGGTAAGGGGCTGTAAAGGCCCGAGTCATAGACTAACTGTCAGAATGAAAATATCAGTTATTGTCAAGCCAACTCTCACTCATGGCAACCCTGTGTGTATCAGAGTAGAACTGCACTTCATAAGATTTTTAATGGCTGAGTTTTAGAAGTAGATTACCAGGTCTTTGTTTTCCAGGGTGCCTCTGGCTGGACTCAAATCTCCAAACTCTCATTTAGCTGCCTAGTGCATTAACTATTTAACCACCCAGTAATTTCTCCAGGTTCACAGCTTCGGTTTAAAAGAATCATCCTCTGATTACTGGCAGAGTTACAGTCTGTCATCTCCAAGGGAAAACTCCAAAAACCAAATCCACTGCCATCAAGGCAATTCAGACTTATATCAACCCCCACTGGGTTTCCAAGGCTATAATATTATTATTTATTTATTTATTTATTTATTCTAATTTGGGTGAAAATTTACAGAGCAAATTCACTTTCCATGCAGCAGTTCACATACACTTTGTCTCATGACATTGACTATAATTTACTACAATGTAACAGCTCCACTCTCACTTCCTCCCAATAGTTACCTCTTCCCTGTGTCCATCCCTCCAAGCACTCCTGCCCCCTGAGCTGTCTCCCTGTGCATAAACAGTCCTTCTTTCTCCCATGATTGTTCTCTCCAAGGAGTGTATCTACCTCAGGTAAATGTTCAACTCATATGCCTGTCTTTTGTTTGGCTGGATACCACAGGTGTAGGTTCAATTCCAGACCTGAAGGGCAGCTAGGGACCATAGTCTCAGTGGTTCCACCAGGCTCTATTAGACCAGCAAACCTGGTTTCCCCCACCCCTTTTTTTTAATTTCCAAATGATTTTGAGTTTTGTTCCACATTGTTCTCCCTCTCTATCCAGGATCTCCTACAGAGATCCCCCTCCAAGTTGACAGTGGTAGCCAGGCACCATCTAGTTCTTCTGGTCTCACAGTAGCATAGGCTGCAGATCACATGGTATATCAGTTCCAAGGCTATAAATTTTTATGGAAGTAGATTGCCTCATCTTCCTCCTGAGGAGCAGCTGGTGGGTTTGAACCACTGACCTTACCCATTACACCACCAAAGCTCCTAAAGATAACATCCTTAACATCCTATCACTAAGGATAACATCATTCAATCATTCAAATATCGATAAATCATTCGACATTATTTATACTTGCATCTTAGGCACCATGCTAGGCACAGGGGATACAGTAGTAAAGCAAACAAGAATAGCCTTGTCCCCATGGAGTTTACTAGATTAATGGGGAAGTAGATTGTAATCAAATCATCATGCAAATGCCTATGCAGTTTGCTTCACCAAACCTAAGGTGCCATCAGATTCACCATGATCTTTTGTACCACTAAGAAAGCTACCAATTAAAGTCTGATTCACCATAGACTATAATAATAGAGGGAAAATTTTGAAAATGGGTAGAGGTGATGGCTGTACAGCATGATGAATGTATTAAAGTCATTGAATTATTCATACAAAAGATGTTGAAATGGCAGTTATCTATCTATATATAATTTTTTTAATGTTTCGTAAGTGTTAAGAAAGTTTGCACCTTTAAAAACCATGAAATGTGGTACTTAAAATCAAGAAGAGGCTATGAAGGAAAGAATTAAGATATTATGATTGAGAATGATAAGGGGGTTGGGGCATGAGACCAAACAAAAAAGCAAACTCACTGCAGTCAAGTCAGATCCAACTCATAGCAACCTCACCTTGAGTTTCTGAGGCAGTATCACTACGGAAATAGATTGCCCAATCTTCCTTCCGAGGAGTGGCTCGTGGGTTTGAACTGCTAGCCTTCTGGTTAGCAGTCAAATGCCTTAGGCACTACTCCAATTAGGACAGAAAAAGTCCCTCTTAGGAAGCAGCATTTAAGCCACAATTTGAAAGGAGAGAATAGCACCTCAGGTGGAGGGTACAGTATTTGCAAAGGCCCATGGATGGGGAAGACCCTGAGGGAAGACTATAGGGATGACACCCAAGGCCAGATACAGGTAGCAGCATGAGATGAGAGGACAGAGGAGAGCAGGGCCAGGTCTTGGAGGGCTTGTAGCTGGGGAAAGAGCTTTGGACTTTAGTCTCAGAGGACTGGAAAACCACTGAACAGTGTTAAACAAGGAAAGATGTGACTTGGACTATGACTTTATAGATCACACAGGCTTCAGTGAAGAGACAGGGTTGGAAGTGGGTGAGAACAGAAGCCAGAGACCAGTGATGCTGGTGGCTTGGACCAGGGTGAAAGTGACAGACTTGAGAAACCATTCAGCATGGAAGCTTACTGATGGGTGAGATGTGCACCTGGTTTAAGGGACTGGGTAGACAGTGCCATGGACAGAGCTGGGGAAAATAGAAGGGAAGCAGAGAAGATAAGGTGTTCAGAACCCTCACTGCAAACCTTGACCTTCCTGCAGGTCCCTTCAGAAAGGCAGCAGTGAGTATGTTCTGCAGGTCATGAGGAAAGAATGGAAATGAAACCCTCTGCCCCACCCCACCCTTCTAGGCCTGTCAGTCCCCACCACTACCACAACTGACAATATAGGGCTTGGCCTTCCAACCACAGTCTGCAATTCAGTCCAACCCTCATCAGTGAGCCTCACTCTAGGCCAGCTCTGAGGTGGGAGAAATGAAGTAGAAGTTAGACAAACAAGATCAGCCCAGTGGGGTCATGGAGGCCTTATCAAGGCCCCAGATGACACAGTCCAGATGTGGGCAGAAGGCTGGGTTCTTACATCAGGGGCACATTTCTCTGACCCAGAGTTTCTCCTCTTTCCCCCAAGTATACACCAAGTGTGGGGCATCTGACAAGCTCATTGACAGACAGAGTCTCTTCATCTACCCCACACTCTCAGAGCCAGCCCTCAAGCCCAATTCTCAGCCAGGAGCATCAGTGAGAAGTGGAGAGAGGCTGAGAGAGAGAGAGAGGCAGGCTGGGTCTGCCTCCTGGGGGAGGGGAAGCTTCAACCTTGTAAGAACAGCCTTTCTGTGGACATCTTGCTGTCCCAAGTACCAGCCCTTCCCTGCAGCTGTGTTTGCTGGCCCAGGGAGGAAACAAAGCCAGTTCTGACTCAAAGTCCATTCTTGGATGCTGAAGCTCTCTAGCTTTCCATTGAGGACAACTAATTATGTAGCACCCTACACTACTTGAGGACAGAAGGGACAGCAGGAAGAGCTAACAGAGGGAAAAGTCCTTTTGTCTAAGCTGCCAGGCCCTGGGTGAGTTTTCTGGGGAGAAGACAGAAGCTGATGTCTAGCCTCAGAGAACTCACGGAAGAAGGGGTTGCTTACACTCCTTCCTTATTGAGCTTGCAGTTACCAGGCTAAGGAAAGGAACACCCCCTTGCTGCAGGGAGGTAAAACTCCCATTCCTAGGTCATCAGCAGCAAAAGAAAGTCTACATGAACTCCTAGAGCTCCCAAGGAGGAAGAGATTTTTGTAGGCTGTAACCTTATTCCAAGTGAAGGATGACCTTCAAATGGTTTTCCCAGCAATTATCCTCAACAGACCAAAGAAAAACAGTTTACTTTTTGACCAACACCCTCAACCCAAGAATGAAACCAGGGCTCATGGTAAGCCTCGGATTCCACTAGTACAGCCAAGGTTATCTCTCTTGGTCTATGGAATGTCAGGCTGAATACTTTAGGAGCCCACCCAAGGCCTGATGTTTGGAGCTCTGGTGGTTCCCACCAGCCACGTGGCCATGTTCCTGGGCTTTCTCTGGACACCAGTACATCTGGGAAGAAGCTGCTATCATGCTTTTCTGCCACAACTCTGCTCTCTATTCCCTGTGGAGTATCTCACAGAGAGGGGTTCTGGGGATGGGGCCACATCATTTGGTCCATTAGCAATGGGACGGCAAATCTCAGTATGTGTTAATCCAGAAGGGGTTAGCAGAGCTTAAAACCTCAGTCCCCACGTACCTACACATCCATTCACCTGCCACTATCAGTGTGTCTGACTCTGCACTGGTTCTGGGGATCATGGTGAGTGGGTGAAGTCTTGTCCCTACCCTCCAGGGATCTCTGAAGGGGTGGTTACCATGTGAAGGATCTTGTTCTCCTCACTAGATGGCCCTTTCCATATAACCAACCACAGAACAATAACCCATAGAAGCTCAGAGTCCTTTGAAGAAGTGACAAACGAGGCTCAGAGATTTGGTGTAGGTTGGGACAAGAGCTCAAGGTCCAGTGTTCTCTTGCTCATCCTTCTAGTCCTCCCCTGCCCACCCTTTTCAGTGCTGCCCACACTCTCCAGACAAACAGTCACCCTGTCCCTAATCAGCTTCAGCCACAGCTGGGGGCCTCACCCTTCCAAGACCCTGAAGAGGTGGAGGGGATGACACTTCAGTCAAAAAACCAAGTGGAGCCTATGACTTCACATTCCCTGTCCTTGGAGAAGACTCCCTGCCCAACACACACTCACATATTTTTACGTATCCTTACACACTCACACATATACATACTTACTCAATCATGCCCACATACATATGTACACATGCATACACACACTAACACACACACACCCTCACGTATCCTCACATGCTCAAACATATACATACTCACACAATCACACCCACATACACATGTACACATATACACACTGACACTCACATCCACACTCACTCATACTAATATATGGTATCAACAGCCACTCTGGCCCACAAACATAAATCTCGGGGGGAGGGGGGCCGGGAACCACTGCCATCAAGTCAATTCTGACTCATAGTGACACCCTTGGGTTTCCAAGGCTGTAAATCTTTACAAAAATAGATTGCTTCATCTTCCTCCCACAGAACAACTGGTGGGTTTGAACCACTGGCATTCTGGTTAGCAGACAAATGGCTTACCCACTATGCCACCAGAGCTCCTTGGAATTCCTGAAAGCCGCTTTAAAACAACCTTTTCCAGCAGGTGGTATCAGCTGGCTCTGGATCTGAATTATACACTCATACTGGATGACAGTGAAGCAATTCTTATTCCCAAACCCTCTGTGATTCAGACTGGGCTGGAGTCCTACCCAGCTCTAGGAACCTGAGTTAAACTTCCCACCCCTCTGCCCTCACACACACACACCCTTCTCTCCTCTCATTGGTCCCAGGGTACCTGGGTACCTGGCACACGTTGTAGTGCTCAAAGAGAGATAAGAAGCCCACATCACTGCGTGCAGCAATGCCTTTGAGAAGTGTGATGTTCCCATTCCCAGAATCCAGCTCAACTACATCGTTGAAAACATTGGACACAGCTTTCCCGGTCAGGAGCAGATTGACAAGTTCCTGTTGATGAGAGAAAAGAGGAAAGCCTGTCAACTCTCAGGATTGGCTACTAAAAAGGGTGGCAAAGGACAAGGGGAGACTGGGAACAAGAAAGAAAAAGGGTGGAGAAGGAAGGAAAGCAAAGTTCAAATCAGAGGAGGCTGTGACCTCAACTTCCCCCTCAGCTCTGAGGGAAGAGTTGCCAGTTTTTCTCATAGAAGCTACTGCAGTAACTCACTGATCTTTACTTGACAAGCATATATTGAGCACCAACTGTGTACAATGCCCTGTTCTAAGTCTTGAGGTGGGATATGGCATGGCCGGAGTGGTGGGGCAGGCCTGTACTTGGGCAGCTAATGCACAGCACAGACATGATAAGAGCTATGCCAATGTGTGTGTAGAGCGTTCTGGGGTTCAGATGGACACACACCTCACCACTGAATCAGAGTAGATTTGTAAGGAAGTGGCACTGAGTGGGTCTTGAGGGATTTTGTTGGGGGGGGGGGTTGTCAATAAGCTTTTCATTTTGAAATAATTTTAGACTACTAAGAAGTTGTAAAAATAGTACAGAGAGTTCCCGTGTACCCTTCACCCAGCTTCCCCCAATGATAACATCTTACATAACCAGAATACATTGTAAAAATCAGGAAATTGACAATAGGACAATACCATTAACTGAGCCACAGATCTCATTCTAATTTCACCAGTGGTAGGAGACAGGGGATGGAGAGGGTTAGGGAGAGAATGGAGGAAGGCATTTCAGGAGGCAGGAATGGCAGAAGTAGAGAGGTGGTAGCAAGAAAGTCTAAGTCTTGTTCCAGCTGTCTCTGCATCACCTGGTTGCATAGTGCCACACATTGCATGGCCCCATGACTTAGGCCATTCACCTTACAAGCCAACAAGTGCTGTAGCCACAGACCCAAGAGACATTAACACGCACAGGGCTATTCTTCCTGTCAACTCCTTTATCCAGTGCCTCCTAGGTTAGAGGTGGAAGGGCCTCTGCCAGGCATCTTAGGATTCCAATCTCCTGTTGTGAATGGGGAAACTGAAGAGTCACTCAAGCTACACAGCTGGTTTATGACAGAAATGACCTTCCCCACATGTTTCCTGGCTCCCTGTCTGGAGTCCCTCCTTCCCTTTCATCTTGCTACCCTCCTGGCATCACCCTGGCTGACCAAAGGCTCAATCAAGGTAAAGAACATGGACTTGAGACCCATGAGATCTCTACATGCCTATTGCAGCATTGAGGGAAGACACAGGGAGCCCAGCCAAACACTCCAGTAGTCAGGACCCCTCTATCTTATCCACCTTCTGCAGGGCCAGTGCTGTGTGGGTGGCAAGCAGGGGGAAACAGCTCACAGAGTTTGTGGGAATAGCCACAACAGCCCCTTCCCCAATATCCACTCTGGAGGACAGAGTTTATGAAAATGTTTTCCCCTGATTGTGAGAATGACGTCCAGAGTTAATAATGCCCTCAGTGAACACCAACACCTCTGCCCCAGTGACAATAAAAGAGGCCTCATCAAATGGCCACCAAGGGACCCCATTGGAGCAAGATAGCGGTGGGCCTCATTGTGTCCCTGCAGAGGAAATGAGCAAATAATTTGGAGGAAATGTTGGCTTTGAGATACTGCACCTCTGGGGGAGCTGCAGCAAAGAAAGGCACTGCCTTTTTCAGATGGGTTCTCTTCATATGGTTTTCAAGGACAAAAGGGGCTCAAACCCCACTCTTAGCAAGAAGCCTTCTTGAAATGGGGAACAGAGCTATAGGCCTCTCCCTGCCCCTAGGCTCAAAAATCACACCATAGGAAAGTTTAGGGGTTATTTAGCTCCTCGCTACTCAAAGTGTGGTCTGTGGACATCATCCTCACTGTTAGAAGATGTAGAAAGGCCTGTCAGAAATGTTGAAATTCAGGTCCCAGCCCAGGCTCACTGGATCAGAACCAGCTCTGCAACAAGGCCCTCTGGACATTCAGTTAAAAAACATTGGTCCAGTCCAAAGGCCTCATTCTACAAATAAACTGAAGCTTAGAGAAGGGAAGAAAATTGCCCAAGTCATTCTACCAGTGAGACAGAGAAAAAGACATGGGGGAGCCAGACTGTGGTCTGGCATCCTCTCTGTCTTTTGGCTGCCCAACTCTGGGCCACACTACTCTCTGCCTTGCAGAAGGGGAACCTCCCACAGGGAGGACCTAAAAGTGAGAGCTAGACCAGCTGGGCAGTTAGAAAATGGCCATGTGGCCTTTCTAAAGAAGGCAGGCAGTAGCCAACACCATAGTCCCTCAAGTGCCCTTGACAAACTATATGCCCTGAGCTCACCCCTGAGTGGTTCAGGGAGGTTTTCAGAGTTGGTACAAGTGAGCCAGGACTCCTGGGATATTTGGGTCTAGCTGGCTGAGCAGCTCAGTCCAGCCTATCTATGGTATACATTTTGGCCCCCACCTGCCACTGAGTGGCACAAATGGTGTCTGGGTGGTGCATATGGTTTGCTCTTGGCTACTAAGCAAAAGGTTGATGGCTCAAATCCACCCAAGGGAAGAAAGGCCTGGCAATCTACTTCTGTAAGATTACAGCTAAGAAAACCCTGGGAAGAACATTTCTACTTTGTAACACATGGAGTTGCCATGAATCAGCATCAACTCAAAGGTAATGGGCTTATGTCAGCAAGGGTTAGATATGACTCTGGCCCACATGGCTACTTTGGGAGGCCTTGGGAAAGGATGGAACTCAGGTGTAGGATTTGGCACCCAGTCTATATATATACTAGGTTTTTCCCCTAGTATCACCTGAGCAAGGGATGTCAGGGACAGGCGACTGTGCTAAGGGCTCCCAGAGAGGACCCTCAAGGGCTCCTCAGTGATGATGCAAAGGGAAAGATTGCTGTAAATACAGTGCACCCTGCAACTGTGAAATGCTGCCATGAACATCATCTTCCAATGGGCTGGAACTCCCCAGCTTGTGCCTGGCACCCAGCATCCTGCCTTGAACTCAGGGTTGCACAGCAACCCCTATAGCTTCAAGCTCAGACTAGATGCAGCACATGCTCCAGAATCAAGAGCTATGCTGGGTTCTTTCTAGGTCTCCCTGCCAATGAAGCCAAGCACAGTTTGGCACATTGCACTTGGAGAGTGTTGGAAGAGGGCAAAAGAAAAGGAAAGACAGGGAAGATGAAGGAAAAAACTGACCAACTGGCCTGGCCCCTTGTGCCCCTTACCTGTGTGCAATATCCATGTGCACCAATCAGATGGCTGGTAGGGACATCAAAGTCCTGGTGAACTCTGGAAAACATGAGAGGCACTGTGTTAGCACTTCTCTGCCTGGCTCAGGCAAGCTGGCCATGCCTGCTGAGCGACCCTTGGGTTCTAGTCTGAGGCCTAGAATTCTGGATTTGGAGGGAACCTGAGGGCTCTGTGTCTGCACCCTTCATAGAGGAACCTCCTGCCCAAAAGTGTGTAGGGCCAGAGCCCAGGGCTCCTGCTTGCCATGCTCCTCTCCACTTTGCCAGGCCCACTTCAGACACTGGAGTATCGGGACCAAAGCATGGGGAGGCAAACAATGTTCTGCATTCACATCCCAACTGTCACTTGCTAGTGGAGACTGGTGGGAATTGGTACATCCCTGTCCATCTCTGGGCCTCACTTTGCAAGTCTGTTCAATGGGATGAGTGGTCTCTAAAGCCTCTATGAATTCTAAAATTATAGCCACCATACCCTCCCTGGGGATGGACATTGTACCAGACACTGTACACATCACCCCATCCCTGAGCACAGGTCTTTTACCAGGCACTGTACACACAAGACTCAGAAAAGTGGACTTGGCCCATGGGCAGTGGAGCTGGTAGGGCAAGCCAGAGAAGCTAGTCTAATGCTTGTGCTCTCCCCACCCTGTGTTACCACTGTGGCATTACTCTATGAATGAGCTTCCCCCAAAAGTCACAAGGTGAGACTTCTGGTAAGATGGAGGAATAGGCAGACAAGCGACACAGACCCTGTTCAATAAAGAAAAGAAAAACCAATTGACAGAGATACAGAAGATAATCCTGGAGCCCTGAGCTTTTAAAGGAACTGTACAGAAGTGAATTAGGCACCAACTCGTGGAAAAACCTGGACAAAAACAGTGAGCAGAGACAGTCAGAGCTGTGGACTATCAGCTACTCTGACAGGACCAACAGCCTGAATGGTTCCACGTGGTGTTGAGACCTGAGAATTGACCTAAAAAAGATCAGCCCTGGTCACCAAGGGCTGTAGAGATGACTGCGCTGGTGGCCTATGACTTGGAAGGGAAATAGCAAGGTGGGAGACAACCTGAGCTGTTGACTTTCCGCTGTCTGGAGGGTGCAGCCATTTTGATTGTTTACACATGGCAGCCATTTTGGATATTTAAAGTGACTGAGGGTGCAGCCATTTTGAATCTTTACAAGTGGTAACCATTTTGGATTTTAAAGTGATAGCATCCTCATTCAGATTCCAGGGACCTAAGAATAGGCTCTGTTTGCAAGGTCAGCAGGAACATACGAGAAGCTGACAACAGGAAGGGAGACAGGTAGTGAGTGTATAAGTGCTGCCAACTAGCAAACAGAGGAGCACAGCACAATACCCTGCTTGCATAGATGACATACAAACAAAACAAAGAAAATGAAAATCACGGACAAGTCACTCCAACATACAATCACCAATGAAATATAAACACAAAAACATCACAATGCCTCAAAGACAACAGAGCATCACAGTCCACACAAAGAAGCAAGATAAAGCAGGGGAAATAAGGGACCAGGATATGGACCCAAAACACATCCCTGAGGAAGATGCAGCACTAGAACTCCCTGATAAGGAATTAAAAAGAATTATATTTAGGTATCTTCAACAAATTGAGAGACAGATCAAGGAAAACACAGAGAAAACCCTAGAACAACTTCGAAAGACAATAGAAGAACAAAATGACAAAACAAATGAAAAATTAGAAGTGATACAAAATCTACATACAGAAATCCAGAAGATTAATATTAAATTTTCAGAAATAGATAAGACATTGAATGGGCAAAGGAGCAGAATTGAATCAAGGAAGACAGAATTAGGAAGATTGAAAGCAAATACCTTTCTTTGGAAAGGGATCAATAAGAAAAAAGAGCAAAACAAAATGAAGAAAGCCTAAGGTTCATGTGGGATACCATCAAAAGAAATAACCTACGTGTCATTGGAATTCCAGAACAAGAAGGAAGACACAAATAAAACCACAGAGAAAACTGTCAAAGATTTGTTGGAAGAGAATTTTCCTGGTATGATGAAAGATGAGAATATATCCATTCAGGAAGTTCAACGAACCCCAAACAGGATAGACCCCAAAAGAAAATCACCCAGATATATCATCATCAAACTTACCAAAACCAAAGACAAAGAAAGAATTATGAGAGCAGCACAGGAAAAACAAAAAGTTACCTACAATGGGCAACCAGTAAGACTAAGTTTGGATTTCTCAACAGAAACCATGCAGGTGAGAAGACAATGGTATCGTATATATAAAATATTGAAAGAGAAAAATTTCCAGCCAAGAATTATGTACCCCACAAAACTGTCCCTCACATATGATGGTGAAATTAGGACATTTCCAGATAAGCAGAAATTAAGGGAATTTGTTAAAACCAGACCAACCTTACAAGAGATGCTAAAGGGAGCCCTTTGGACAGAGAAGCAACAACAGCCAACAACAACTGACCATTAACACACATGATGATATAACTCAGAAACTAACCCAGCTATGGAAGTATCCAAAGTAAATAAGCCTACAAGATTGTAAACAGGGAATCAGAGACATCAATTGACAAATGAGGACAACTACCAACCAAAAAGAGGGAAAAAACTGTCGTTACAGAACTTCTAGATGGTAGGGAAGTCAAGACAACTACGAGATAGAACAGACTATTCTAAACTTGGGAAGAAAACTATAAATCACAGGGTAACCTCAAAGAAAAATGATAAAACTTCACATCAAAAAAGAGGACCAGCATAAATATTCAGCAAATACTGAAACAATAGCAATGAAGGAAGTGATAACACAATTCATAAACATAACAAGCTCAACATAGAAAATTATATGGCACAAAGAAAATGACACCACGAAAAAGCACATAACAAAAATGACAGCAACAAATTCATATTTGCTGATAATTATGTATCTGGCAAGGGACTTATCTCTAAGATTTATCATGGAAGAGTGGATGACCAAACTATGATACATACACATAATGGAATGCTATGCAGCACTAAAGAATAATGTAGAATCTGCAAGACACCGCATTATATGGATGAACTTGCAGGACATTATGCTGAGTGAAGTAAGTCAATCACAGAAGGACAAATATAGTATTAGTTCGTTGTTGTGGAGGGTCAAGGAAATGTTTATATATGGAGGAAAACTTTCTTTGTTGGTTGCCAGGGGTGGGAGGGGAGGAGAGGGAACACTGAAAAAAAAAATGCATTGACGCATGTCACTTTAGTTTTGTGTATTTCATTGTACATAAGCTATATTTCAATAAAATGTACTAAAAAAAAAAAGATACCACAAACAAAGTTAAAAGACAATAATATACAGACTGGGAGGGAGAAAAAAAAGATTTATAACATATTTTTACTTCTTTTTGGGGGGGACACAATTCAATCCATAATAGGTAAGGAGCAGGGGATTTTCAACAGAAATGCCCAAAATTTACTAATCAAACCAAAAGGAGTAGGACCAGAGGTGAGGAAGGAAGTGGCTGGGGTTGGGTAATTAGGGAGTTTCTCATTCTTCAAGTCTAGTATGATAGGAGACAAAAGAGGAAAGTACTGTCTGCTTGAAGCCTGACTACCCTCCATAAAAGTTGCTGTTTGTGTGAATTTCTATTAAAAAAAAAAAAAAAAAGTCACAAGGTGAAAAGCCCAAGAGGATTTCTAGGGCTGGGAACCAGAACAATTTGGGTGTCATGCTCAGTAGTGGTCCTGTCACATGTAGCATGTAAAGTGATAAGCACCAGAGTCCAAAAACCCTCTCCGAATTTCAAAACTTCCCTCATCATCATCTTGTTAACTGTGCTAGTAACTTAGTCCATTATTCATTTTGTTGTTTTGGTTATTGTTAGCTACGAGTGAGTCAGCCCCAATTCACAGTGACCCCCTGCACAGTGGAACAAAACACTGCCCAGTCCTGTGCCACCCCCATACTCAGCTGCAGATTGGACAACTGTGATCCACAGGGATCTCACTGGCTCAATTTCAGCAGATCACCAGGCCCCTCTTCCTAGTCTGTCTTGGTCTGCAAGCTCCACTGAAATCTGTTCATCAGCACAGCAACACACAAACCTCCACTGTCCACAAAGTATATTGGCTGGGGATTAACCCCTTTGAAAGACCAGCATAACCTTATTATTGCACAGAGCTGCATAGTGGGTAAACAGGAAAGGAACCACCATTTATTGCACATGCTCAGTAGATGGCAATTTCAACCCTCCAACTGCCTTGCAAAGTTGGAATTACTACCTCTATTTTATAGATGTGGAAACAAATTTAGAAAGGCAAGAAGACTGGCTCCCACAGCCCTACTTTCTCCACTACTAGCCTCATCTGCCCCTCAACACTTTGTAGGGGACTTGCTGCTTCCCTCACCACACCTCAAATAGAGCTCTGAGATACAGCTCAGGGGTAGGAAGGACTTGCAGTCATGACTTTTATTTTTGTTTTTAGGGGAGGAGAAGAGAAACATGGTTACAGTTTATGCTTTTAATCTAAGATCTGCCATAAGTCCACAAACCTAAGACACACATTCTGGCCCCTGTGCCCTTCCCACATGGGTTTAAAAACTATAGCTCCCTAAACCTTGTGGGGAAAAAAAAACAAAACTTTCTTGTGGTTTTTAATAGCCATGGCCAAACCGGGAAGGTTGCGGTCCACATTACAAGGCTGCTGTGATGGCTGTTCCAGGGGCCTGGCCAATGGCCATGGGGGCTCAAGGTCCTCTGGGATGGGCCTCTGTGGCTCACCCACCTTCACAGCAGGCCTGGGAAGGAGTCGGCTGAGGTGATTAATGGCCCAGTGTGGTGTTCAGCTGGCGCTAGCTCAGGCTAAAGAATTGATGGAAATGCTCTCTGCAGCACATCCAAGCATCTTCTGAAGAGAAGAAAATAACCTCAAAGTGACCCCATGCACAGTGGAACAAAACACTGCCCAGTCCTGTGCCACCCCCAAACTCAGTTGCAGATTGGACAATTGTGATCCACAGGGATCTCACTGGTTCAATCTCAGAAGCA